TGCGTATCCGCGTTACGAAACAGCTCCAGTCGTCTGCTCGGCCATCAACACAGGCTGCAGGAAAATTACGAAAATTAAGCAACCACTCCTTGAGCCAAGGACCATGTTAATTAACCCGCCGGCGCCCCACTAAGCAGCTGATACTCGTATTTCAATTCAGGTTTTAGTAGCAATCGAGAAGTCAATTTGACGAGCGGGTTATGCATTATATTACGTACTATGGTCCCACTAAAGCGATATTAGTATATCCTTCGGGTTTGAAATATGAGCTTAGTTGACTAGCTATTAGGTGAGCTGCTGAAAAAAAGTATATTTGACAGACGAAGACATACTACTTAAAATTTAGCCAAATGGTTCTATAGCCGGCAGCACGGAGACAAACTGAAGAGAGTCTTCATTGAAGATCCACGCAGAACCTCTCTGCATTGAACTTTGCTTCGAATCCTGAACGGAGAAAATTAGTATCTTTTTTTTTTTTTTTTTTTTTTTTTTTGTGGCCGGTCCACCTGATCAATGTAGACGTATATTGCTGCTGGCTTCGACGTCCTGGTAATATAAATATTGGAGGTGCGATAGGTCAAAATGTCGTGGCAGCATCTAACGTTGAGAGACTTGTCTCCCATCTTTTGAAAACAGATAATTTCCCTCATTCAATATTTGCAGCGAGCATGTTTTCCTGCATCAAGAAATTGCGAAATCAGCCCAACTCCTTCAGTGTGGTCCAGAGGCTGTTTCGGCGAAAAGCAGCCAAGATGAATAGCCAACGCACCGACCGGCGTAAGTGGCTCAAACTTGAAGCTAACCGAACGCAACCAAACTCAAGAAAAGCAGCTATCGAACCTTCCCATTCACTTGACTGAAACATTGATGCTCCCTCCAGTATCGGTTACCAAGCAGTCATCACTTTGAATGTGATTCGAGACAGAACAAGAAATCAAAACGTTTTTCCGTGATTCCTTTCCATCCAAGAAATCGAAAGCACGCGACCGTGTGCTGTGGAATAAACGGGCTTTCAAACACGTAATAAAAGAAAACAATTTACTGAGGCTTCACCACACTAATGATTACTCAGGCAAACTTAAGAAATATTCGGACCTTCGTCAAATTACATTGTTCGCCACCGCGCCGACAACACGGCTCCGCGAACGCCACCAGAGACGCGGAGGGGCGCGGAGCGACCTGGACCGGCTGGTTCTCGGTTTTCCCGCTTGGCGGCGTCCGTTTTGCTGGAGTCGCGATGTACCGCTCGGTTAGCGCTTCAGCAGCGCTCTGTCAGCGCTTCTAAAATTCGAACCACGGATATTGGGGTGACTCGTAGTCAACTTCCTTGCCGGGACATCCTTCGACCTCGAGGGAAGTGGGCGCCCTGGTTTGGATGGTGACGACCGATGATGGTGTTCGCCCAATAACAACCCCCAAAAAATTAAAAAAAAAAAAAAAAAAATCTACAGGTTGTTTGATCCCGTTGAACACATTGCGACGTTGGTTGACTTTACAGTGGCCAGTGTGGCCACGTTTATTACGAAACAAAACTGAACAGTGGGCTAAAATCCCAAAATTAAACCCCATACTTTTGTTCCCAGTCTCCCAAAATCGAATCAAAGCCAATCCCCGAGAATCCTCTCGGCACTCCTTTTGTAGGCTCACAGGAGCCTCCTTTCTCTTTGGGGACCGGCCAATCCCTTCAAATTTCACCACTCCCACGTGGTACACTGTTGCCCAATGGTCGGCGAGCTGTCGTTATGCCTGGCGCTCCAACTGCCAAATCCAAGTTCCTTCTAGAATCGTTCGCTGCATTTTTCCCAGTCTGGCTGGCGCCAACAGCTAAATTATTACGTCGGGTAAAAAGCGACAATTTGATACTAAGCGGCGAAACCATCTATACAGAGGAACACTCGGTTAAAAGCCACATGCAGCTCCAAGCGCCGATACCCACATAAAAAGTATGAAAAAAAAAAAAAAAAATGCCCACGCAACTTTGGAAAAATAAACTTTTCTAAAAAAAGAACAAAAAACAAAAAAAAAAAAAACCTTACTTAATGAGCAGGATTTCTACATACTTAAAGGGGCCCTGCAAGGACTTTTTACTGTTTTTTTAATTTGCACCGAACCTGAGCGCACTGAACGCAGTAACTTAGTGAAACTTTTCGCGAAATTCGCTTTATTTTAAAAGTTATAGGCAATTTAGAATTACAAAAACAAGCAAAAAATAACCTCCTTCATGACGTCGTAGGTCCTGGCTTGAGTGGCCGTGAACTAGAGGAGGAATAGTGAGCTCATCGAGCGCTCACGGCCGCCGCACTCCGTGTCGACGGCACCAGAGGGCGCCACTAAAGCATGTTCTGGATAGGCTGTATTCTGCGGGCAGTCAAAGCGGCTCTCATTGCGTTTGCTGCGCGATTAAATACTAATTCGGCATGACACTTCATTGGCCACAAACGACAGCAAACACGGGGTAAAGATCAGTTCAGAATGGGAGCCACTTCGCGCTGCCATACAGCGAAACGGCCAAACCGCAAGACAAAGCCTCTCGCCGAAGGCCTTCGGAACGTTCGGAACGCTCGGTGCCGGTCGGATCCTCCTGCCCATATGACTGCAGCGCCACCGCGTACATGCGGGATTTTTCCGTGTCGGCGCCTTATTCCACTACTCCTTTCTAGTATGCGCCGCCTTTTCCACCACTTGGCGGCGGGTATGTTGACGGGTCATTTCTGGTTTCCGTACTTTATAAACTGCATTTCTTTCTTTTTTTTTTTTTAATTTATAATAGTGAACAAAAACTACTTTTATAAATAATTGAAACGGTTCGCGCCACTTATATTTTGTATTTCGACCAAAAAGAGGTTTTTAGTGGCTCTGACCAGTAGTAAGCCCAGGACCAGAGACGTCACATTTTGCGCGCTTTCGGTACCGTGGGTCGCCCTCTTCAGTGGAGGAGGTTTCCGTGTCGTCCGGTTAAATTATGGCGCACTGATATTTAGCTACTCTTTCCGTGCCCGCTGGCTTGTCCGAACCCCAAGAGACGTGGAAACCGCATAAAAGGTAGACGTTTTAAATATGATTGCAGGGCCCCTTTAACACTCGTGTTCGCAGAATGTCTTTCGTATGATGTACGAGCAGCGTCAGCCCGGCTTTAGGGCTACAAGAATTAAGTTTCAAGGCGTAAAATGAATGCTGAAAAAACCCCGAGCAGAACGTGGGGGGAGGGAGGAAGAAGTACAGCACCTTTTTTAGATTGCCGACTCGACCTGGGGGCAAGTTTTACGTGTGACGTCAATTCACTGTAAAACGCGAAAAAAATTGGAATGTCGGTTTTGGTATAACCTTCATTTGCCGTGTTCTCGGTAGGGGTTCTAAATTTAAAGTCAATAAGTTGAATGCCCGGCAAAGCGAATCATGGGTATTCCGAAAATGTTTTATTTGCGTAGCTTAAAAATCCGCCGGAGCCCCCGGCGTATCGGATCACAAAAACAAAAAGCGTTGGTATGTTAATAGTGGGGCTGGTGGTTTTCATTTCCAAGCATTATGGTGGCTCGACTAAAAAAAATATAATTACAAAAAAAAAAAAAAAAACGAAAAAAAAACAAACAAGCAGAACGTACCAAGCAAATAGGAAGAAAACAAAATGCACAGAATCTAAATGACTGTGACATAAGCAGGAAATGTCACATAACACGGGCGTATAGCTTGTACGTGACCATAAGCCTAGATTCCTGGGAAAGAATTCCACGGCCGCCAGAAACTGCAACGGACCGTTATGCCTGGACACGCGCAATTTCACCCGAAAATGGCCGAGACCCGCCGTGAAATATTAACAATAGACATAGAAAAAAACCAAAAAAGTAAAAAAAAAAGCGAGTACAAAACAAGATTTTCTACTGGCAATTCGAGCACGACATTCGCACACCTTGTCTTTCTCTTTTTCAAATTTCGTTTGGTTCGCGTTTTCACTTTCTTTGAGCTACTTTTCTCCGTTTCTTTGTTCTCGCGATTCCCGCTTTGGCGCCAGGGTGCGCGACCGTAGACTTGTTCATGTTTAAAAAGAAAAGAAAAGAAGAGAAAACGACCTTCAGTTTGAGAGGTGTTTCGCATTTGAAGGCGTTATTGCCGTTGTTATTCGTTGCGTTTTACGCGTGCCTTGTGTGGGCAGGGACGTCTTGTTGGCAGTAATGATCAGGTACGGAGTTACCTCGTTCAAATTATTGCGTTTTTCTTTTCTTATTTTTTTTTATCCCCAAACCGTACGCCATTTTCTTTTTCTTACTGCTCTTTTTTTTTTTTATGTCTTTGAAGCGTTAGGATTGATTCCGAAGACTTTATCGTATACCATAAGGTGTGCCTAACCTCTTGTTCCCTCGCCCTCTTATTATTTTTGTTTTGTTTTACTAGCGTGTTGATCGGGGGGTGTCAGCGGTGACCTTTCTCTAAAGAATGTTGTTCCCACGACGGTCTTGGCAAGGGGTCATTTAAACTATATGTTTTTAAGATTCTTTTTGACGCGGTCTGCTCCTACAAGCGTTTAACGTAAAATAGCTTTCATTCATTCATTTGGTTTATTATACCTTAAGGGCCCCGGGGGGTACCTTAAGGGCCCCTGGGAGTTACATAAGGGGGTAACATAAAAAAAAAAATATAGCACTTCAAGGGTTGAAATCAAATGCAGAGACAAATAGGTTGAAAGAACATCTGTTATTTGCCAGTGCAATATCTTCATTATGCAATCATTGCTTAATAAGTTCTGCTAAAACAAGGCATGATCAATAATTGTTACAATGGACTCGTTTGGAGTCCATTGTAGCACTTTTGGAGTAATTTTTCACCAGAGGGTGTTTAGTGCATACGGGTGTCTTGTTATAAAATACATACAAAAACAAACGAGATGCGGGATGGAAGTAATCCAAGAGGACATCCCATTTTTGTAAAAGCACAGAGTTGTGTTGCAGTCGAAGCGTTCCTTTTGATATCCCAAAGGTTTCGAACAGAGGTTCGAAGTAGCATCCATTCTAACACGTATCGTTTAGATAACATCCTTACTATATTTAAGTCGAATATTTGTTGACTTTGTTAAAAGTTCCCTGAGGATGTTTCTGAGATCGTCTAAACATGGCAATAATTTACTATGTTGGATCTAAGCACCCTAGAAATCCATAAATCATAATGATGCGCGGCCGATGTCCCTATTAAAAAAGCAATCGAAAGTCAAAATTATCTGGGAGGAGCATTGTGCCGGCAGCCAGGACGACACGAGATCAAGGGAAACGTGACATTTCGTTGAGATTGCAAACGCTGTTATTACAAAATGTGTATGTTTTTGTAGATGATAGAAGCAAGTAAAAGTAGTCGATAATGTGAACTTTTCGCGGAGAGAGAACATTATATTGGAGGGTGATTCCACGTCAGTTCATGCAATGATGGTCCGGGTCATAATTTTGATAGTTTTGTTAAAAATATATATGAAAGTCATGTTCTTGGGAGGAACATTCAGCTATATATGAAGGCCGTAACAATTTTTTTCGCTGAGATATAAAATAGAGAAGCTCGGGGCGTGGGAATTGAGAAGATTTCACGATGCTACTTTGCACAGTTGCCATTTTTCCATGGAAGCTTTCACGTTATCATAACTTTTTTAATACATTTTACAAAAGGTTTACGACACGTAGACAAAAATGAAATATATCAATAAAATATTTCTATAAAAAAATCAAACATGTCATAAGTTTTTTAGAGACAAATTCAACATGTTTTTTTGGAAATAAACTATTTTTGATAATGATTAACAAGACATCAATATGCGCGTCTTTATATTACCTTGAAGAATATATAAAATAATATACCTACCCTTGATTGTCTCTTTGTTATTAAGGCGGAAATGCAGCTGGTTTCTCAAAATGTGGCAAGACTAAGCGTCGATACAAAAAAACAAACAAAAAAACATACTTTTTTTTTAAAGTCTTCTTGACACTTTGCAGTGACTTGAATTAACTTAGGATGGCAAAACATTGAGTAACATCTGACCTCCAAACGGGAAAACCTACGACAAACCTTCACGCGGAGCGAGCCGATGTCTCCGTTATAACGACTTTGCCGCACAACACCAAACATTTTGAACGTTAGTTATGACATGTATTTTTTATGTTTCAAAATTTTTGTTTTTGTTTTAAAGGGGTGAGTATAACAGACGCGAAAAGGGACTTCGAGCTGGAATACCATTACTTAGCTTACAATTCACAAAAACAAAACGCTCCCACTCTGCAAATTCTCTAACTATGCATACATAAGCTTAAAGGTCTCAGTCGCGCAAGTGGCCATGTATACATCCGGCCTCTCGGCTTATGATGAATTCCTCAGATGAAATGCCTGGGTTCCTCTCACAGGTTTCGCGGTGGTCCACTCTGCTTGCTTCACCACACGAAACTCTCGAACCCGTTCCAGAGACAGGTGGAACATGCAGACATTTGTTACGCGGGCACTTCCCCAAAGTCTTTAGCGGTGACAATCGTTGAGTTGAGCGAAGATCTCATGTTAGTGAGCGTTGCGCGGTGTTTAAGAGCAGCACCTACTCCAGAGCGAGCGCTTTTTTCGTGTCCAGTGGCAGAAAAGATGAACCTGCCGAAGGCTTCCGAGGAGCGCTTCTTGAAATGCGGGGGGGGGGGGCGGGGGGGGGGGGAGGGGGGGGGGGGGGGGGAGGAGAGGGGGGATGGTCACACAACGATAAACAAAGCCGCTATAATGAAGACGTCGGTTCGCTCCGAGTGAAGGTTTGTCGTAACTTTTCCCGTTTGGAGGTCATATGTTACTCAATGTTTTGCCATCACAGGTTTGTTCAAGTCACTGCGAAGTGCCAAAGGGAGTTTGAAGATAAAATAAAAGATGGAGTTTTTTTTTTAAATATCGACGCCCAATCTTGCCACTTTTTCAGAAATGAGCTGCATTTCCGGCTTAAATCAAGGAGACATTAGGGATGGACATATTATGTTCATATATTCGTAAAAATAATTTAAGGGCGCGCATTTTGATATGTTTTGTAAAGTATTATAAAATATAGTTTGCTTGCGAAACAATTGTGAATATGTCTCAAAAACGTGTTTTTGTGCCATATTTGATTGTTTTGTTTGCATACAAACATTTTATTGATATTTAAATTTTTTGTGTATGTGTTGTATATATTTTGTGTAATGGTATTAAAAAAAGTTGTGGTGACGTGAAAGCTGTGACGAGAAAATGAAGACTGTGCAAAGTAGCATCGTGAAATCTCAATTTCCACGCCTCGAGCTTCTGTATTTTATATCTCACCGAAAAACATTGTTGCGGCGTTCATATATAGCTGAATGTTCCTCCCAAGAACATATAGAGCCAGCAGAGTGGGTTATCGCCATATTTAATCGATCTCAAAAATCTCCTCAGGGCAACTTTAAGGCTCGTTCACACACTTGCGTTTCCATAGGACTAAGTTCTGTGACCTTTTACGACGAAAGAACGCACTGCCACGATGGCGCCATCTATGAGGTGACCCTGGAACTACATTTCCCTAGAGCGAACGTTCTGCGGCATTAGCGAGATCTAATGCACGTACTACAGACTTATGAGAACTGGTCGTTTAAAACATCGTCAAAAGTTTTTCAAGCCAAGAAAGGAAGTATGATGCGTACAAAAATACGAAATATACGGACTCTGCAAGTGTTTCACGGCTACACGATAGATGGCACCCGTGTGTTTTCTTCTCGCTGTAAGCGATTTTAAGAGGTTTTAATGGATATGGTTACAAACAGCCGCAAGTATGCGAACAAGCCTTTTTCTGGTTGGTTCAACACCGCTTGCGCTGCGAGGAGTTTTCAACCAGTCTCATTGGGAGCTGTTTTGTTCTTAAAAAAAAAAAAAAACATTGATCGGCGGCACCAATGCGTTTCGAATGATCAAATAAAGACTAACCCTACTGAAAATTCTCATTTGTATGAGAAATTTCTTGTGTCCAATAAACACATATGAATCATACACGATATATAAGAACATATAAGAACATATAAGAACCGTAAAAGAACCATATAAGAACTATATAAGAACTATATAAGATATATGAGAACACACAAGCACCATATGAGAAACTAGTGGGGACTTTCTTATAAGTTTCTTATGGGGTTCTTATATATCTTATATAATTCTTATATAGTTCTCATATAATTCTTATATGGTTCTTATATGTTCTTGTATGTTCTTATATATCTTGTATGATTCATATGTGTTTATTGGACACAAGAAATTTCTCATACAAATGATTTTTTTTACTAGGGAATACCGTGAGAAAGCTCTTGTTTCTATCTTCGCTGAAGTTACAGAGCTAATGACCGACGCAAATGTGGCGGTGACTCGTTTAAAGCTCGGCCAGAGCGGTGAAAGTTACTGCGCGTATCCGTGTCGTGTACACCGTAACTACTCGCGCATTTTAACATTTTAATGACAGAAAGCAGCGCACACCATGGGGTCATTGAAGCGAGAGTGACGCGTTTCCCACGTGACCTATAGCTCGCAGCTTACGTATAAAGAGTCCTGAAACGTCGTTCTGACGCGAAACTCTGTCGTGGACTTTACCAGCGGTTTACACGATGCAGCTCACAGTAAGATATACGTTGGTTGTCCTATATTGGAGCTCAAACACAGAGGCAACTTTCTGAAGCGATGGAGTCGAATCCACGCACTCTGGTGCGCTCCTGGAGCTTCACTTTTGAATTGCTTCTCTTACGAAGTGAAGCTTCTGCTGCTTCACTTCACTTCTGAATTGCTTCACCACTTGAATTGATGCAGAAAGTTGTCATGTATAATGTGAAGACTGTGATGATGTGTCAGCGTTGAACTTCTAGTTCCTCCCTCGCCAGTGACCGTTGTGCTGATGTCCCTAGCATCTTTTTCCAGTCCTTTAGACCTTTTTTATTTTTTTTTTAAGAACATTGATTGTGTTGATGAGAGCTTGAGAGAACGGAAAGGAAAGGCCGATGCTTTTCAAACTCCAAGCCAAACACTGTGTTGCTTAAGCTGCTAGTGCTTGCAGTTAACACAGATCGGTTGGGTTGAAATCTTCTTTAACGTCCGAGTTTTGATGAAATCAGTAACGGTTGCTTTTAGGTAGTTGCGCATGAACGGCGCCACATCTGATCTTCACCTTTTGGTTCTCTTTTTCCGGGTGCCTTGCTTGCTAATGTGATACATTTTGGCCACCGTGAGCGACATGAAGAACTCTTACTTGGGTTTCTAAACAAGCAGGCCTCTTTGCGTTTGTTATTTTTATTTACAGTTACTTAGTGCCTTCTTAAAAAACGGGAATGGTAGTAATGGCGGATCTATTTTAGCGCACTATCCCGTTGGCTAAAGTGAGTGCAAAATGAGTTCCTGAAAGACCGATATTTTTGTTTGTTTTCATAACGTTTTTATTGTTGAAACGGCGTAGTAGACCCATAAGAGTTAGACAAATACACAGTCTAAGTGTATGCTATAATAAGATAATGAAAGTGACCCGCGTTATATTGTTAGTATATTTGTGCATCGCCTTGCAAACGACGACTGACGTTATCGACGCAGTTTTACAGTGCTGTGCTACTTGCAACCGCGGCCGTTATGAATGCTGAGTTCGGCGGCTACGGTGGTGGCACAACCTACCATTTCGACAATCAGAGGGCGGGACCAGGCTACGGCGGAGGCTACGGTGACTACGGGGGACCGGGCTTTGGAGGTTACGGAGGACCGTACGGCGGATACGGAGGAGGGCCTTATGATGGTTACGGGGGATACGGAGGCTACGGTGGCCCCGGCGGCTTCGGTGGAGGCTATGGCCGGGCGTTCGGCTACGGATTTGCTGTCGGACATGGAGGACACGGCTTCTACGGCTAGAATGGGTACGTTTATTCAGCATGCTCCCAAAATAAATTAATGTTTTTTTTTTTGTTCGTTTTTTTTTCACCGCAAAGTAAACTACGCATTGCCGAACTCTTAGTCTCAGCTCATATGTAGCGCTAGCGGAACCAGATGCCGAAGTTTCAGAACTATAGCCGCTATCTCATCCGAAGGTTATAACAGCGATTAGCGGTTTCCTTTCATATTAAATGGTAAATGGGGGCCGACAAAGCCCATGAATTCAAGGAGATGAGTGGCGTCATCAGCTACTGGGATCAGGTACCATTTTTCTGTTGAAAGTTTTCAGAAAATCGCTTATATAACTTCTGAATAAGGTAACGCAGAGTTCCAAATCTAGGCCGCACCGTTAGCGCTACATTTGGGCGGAAATTAAGCGTTCGACGAAGCTTAGTTTTATTTTATTATGGCAATAAAAAAAATAACTTTTTTTTTCCGACATTAAAACAAAATTGTGCGTTTCATTGCAACAGGGTTACATTGTGAGACATGCCTGTGTGTACGCACAGGTTATTAAGACATGGCGCTTGCCCTAGAAAGCGTAGCTTGTGGAACGTTCAAGACAAAAGCTGTAAATGTTCACGCAATATAAAACGAAAAAGGAGTATATACCAGTACATGAAGGCTTCCTAAGTATTACCATTCAAACTACAGATAGATTGGAGTGAGAGACCACTCCCAACCACAGCATTGATGGGGCTGTTGTACAGCTTTTGTAGCTTACTAGTGTTGTGTCGTACAGCTCTTGTAGCTTACTTTTTGCTGTTTGTCTTTTACTTGTTTTTGGTTGTAGAATTTTGTTATTCGTTTGACCAATACAATCGGAACTCAGTCTAGCAATATTATTGCGTTTTTTTTTCTCTTCCTTCCTTAATCTTTATTGCGGTCGAAACAAATTAAGATACAAAATCAAACTCAAATGCAGGTATTTCTGAGAATGAGCTAGGATCATCTCCTCTAAGAGCGGATGTCTTAAAAATAAAGCACAAATGTATGGACATTTACATGATCTTACAGGATATGCGTTTAGGGTTGTCCGATTGGTGCTACTCTATCGGGCGAAAGGGGCACATGCGTGCTTCGTTACTTCTGAAGTATACTGTAACCACGCCTTGTTTAGACATTGACTTGAGTTACGAGATATTTGACCTTGCATGGCTGTTATTATAGACAGTTTAGTAGCCTGCTTGCTGATTCAATTAAGACATAATTACGTTTGTGTTCCTAAACATAATGATATACGAATACACTCTAAGAAAAAAGTGGGCCTCAAGGGACTAACGGCAGCATTTGGTCCTCTGAACTTCCAGTTGCTCCTGTAAGGACTATCTGGTTCAAGCTAGGTGCCGTGCGCAAACGCTGGGGACTAACTGCGCTCGACTGGGACTAACCGATAGGCGTGCGCGAGCAAAAGCAGCCATTAGTCCCCCTCAGACATGGGGCATATGTATGATTTAGTCCCCGACGGCAAACGGGATGTTCGCCAGGAGGACGGATGATATTTCGCTTGCCTTAGGAATTGGCGAGACTCTGCCCAGCACGGCTGAAAGTGTTCACAAAACTCGGACGAAAGTGGCGAATTTGTTTAATGTGCCACGAACGTTCAAACATTACATGGTAGAGCTTCGCGCGGTATGCGAGTGCGAGTTAACGAATTTGTTGACTCTACTCCACCCAACTATCTCGTCAAAAATGATCTGTTGACATTTCACAAGTCCCATTCACGTAATTTGCCTTCGCGCAAAAAATGAGCATTAATCCAAACGCAACACCTCCAAATACTAAGTTTTTTTTTCTTAAATGAAACTTAAGAGTTTGTAGAAGACGCGCTTTCAACACCGGAGTCTCGCAGTCAGAATAGGAAGTTTTCGTACACCGCGCTGCCCCCTCCGCTAAGTGTTCCGCAACGAAGAAGTTGCTACTGTGCCTGCGCGCCGATAGCCTTGACTGCGAAGTTCCCGCTATCGTAGCGGGTTGCGACAGCCTCGCGGGACGGCGAAAATGATCTACAAAAACTCCCTAATAAATGGTCACTTCAATCGCTAAAACTGATTTACTGAGAACAGCTCGAGCCTCGTCTCTGCGTCTCCCCGTAACCAACCTTTCTTGGTAGTCCAATGTCGAACTCAAAATCCGCAAAGACACACTTGATGCACGGCACGTTCCACTCAAAAAGCACATTCAGGGGCAGTATCCAGACGCTTTCATGCCATCGTCGGTGATGTTTCACATAACATTCCAGATGAACAACGAAGAATGAACCGCGCCCGGATGTCATTCATGGCAACACCCTGCTAATACAAAACAAATGCGAACGAAAAAAAAGGCCCCCGAGAAAACTGAGAAGAGAGAGAAAGAGAGAGAGAGAGAGAAAAAAAACATGCTTCCTTGTACGCCACTTGACCGGCGTGTTGAAAATGGCGACCTTCGACCTTCTCCCGTCCTTCGGGCATTGGTGTGTCGGTGTGTAGTGAAAGGAGGACAAGAGATTTTCGGGGAACAGAGATTTCCCTTCCCCCTCCCACCAACCCCCTACCCCGCATTTCTCGCTCACGCGGGGGGTAGGGCAGATGGAGCAGAGGGGGTCCGTCGGGAAAATGGAAACGGGTCTTTGTTTGAAAAGGACCTGTTTTTAGTATTGCCTTCGTCAGGACTTAGAAGCTGGTCGTCTCCGATCATTGCGGGATCCGGTTTGGATTCGCGGTGCTGCAACACTGCACTTGATCTGTTCTGGAGTCACAAGACAAGGGAACTCGATTAAGGTATGTCAAAGTACTTCTGTTTATGGTATATTCATTAAGGGGTATTCACACGAGGGAGAAATCCCGGGGATTTCTCCCCGGCACGCGCATTCCGCGACGAAAACGTCAGACTTTGCGATGTGCAAAAGCCTCGCGTTTTCATCTCGTGATGCGCGCGCGCCGGGGAGAAATCCCCGGGATTTATCCTCCGTGTGACTTCAGAAAGTGTTTTATTTTGAGCGCGTTCTCTAGCTTCCAAAGCAGGCGCCATGCTCTATTCTTTTTGGCACCATGGTTCCTTATTTTGTTACGCAGCACAGATACCTGATATTCAATCGTATTAGCGATGTGCGCGACCAAAAGCGTCGCTGCGGTTAACAACTGGTGACGTCACGGCGAGGCAAATCCCAGTCGTGACATTACGGATAGAAACCATAAGAGGGCGCCACCGAAACATCTCGGCGCTAATCGAGCAAAACGCCAGTTCTACCAATGGCTTTCTTTTTTGTGTTTTGCAGACCCTGGCAGGATCGCTTTACTATAAAGGCCTGTTCACACATGCAGCAGAGAGCTACAAGCATAGCGCTGACCTAGCGCTAAGCGCGTGCTGACGGGAGCTTTTACCAGCTTTGTATCGCACCGTCAAAACTGTTGCTCATGGCAGACGAAAAGCAGCTCACGACACGTGAGGAGCGCTACTTCAGCGCTTTGCTGCGTGTGAGAACCGCCCTTAATGGAGACGTTTATTCGATTGTATAGACTTTCGCGTTGATGGCGGGAGCTCGTTCCGTTACTTCGTAGCATAGTTTGAGCACGCACACGCTGGGTCTGTAATTCGCAGCGAACGGTCTACTAAAAATATAATATTGCGCTGGTCTGCTGTCAACAGATCGCATGTTAGATGTCAACCTTTGTAGCACTTTTGTAGCCTATTTGTTAGCTTAATATGTGTGTGTTGTATCTCATACTTTTGTTGACCGATCGGGTATTTCACGCTGCCGCTGTTGATAAAAATCCAAATTTCTCGCAAACAGGCAAGAAACTGCAGGTGCCCCAAATAGACGGTGCTTGAACCACGACCAGTTTGGACAGCCGTCCCAGTGTTCAAGTCATCGTCGACGCAAGTGCATTCTTCGGAATTTGGCCTTATCGTGAAATCTGCCGCTCAGGAACTTTGACTTCAGTCATCCTTGAATCGGATGTGTATCTAGAGGCAATAAAGCTACGTTTAACCTGAACTGCACAATTTAGTTTGGAGATTTGTGGCTTGGGACCAAATGTAAAGGATAAACCTTTAGTCCCACGGGTCTAAATCCAAAGGCGCAACGTTGAGACCCAGGGGTCCAAGTGTAAGGGCCTAACAGTCGGTCCTCGGGGTTCATTTGAAACGGTGTAGCAGTTAGTCCCAGGGGTCCAAGTGCAAGGGCCTAACAGTTCGTCCTCGGGGTTCAATGGAAACGGTGTAACAGTTGGTCCCAAGGGACCAAGTGCAAGGGCCTAACAGTTGGTCCTCGAAGTGCAATTGAAACGGTGTAACAGTTAGTCCCAGTGGTGCTAGTGCGAGACACTAATGGAGGGGCGCAACTGTTACTCCCCTTCCCGTTAGTCCCCGAGGGGACTAATGGTTGTGGCAACGCACTTGCTCCCTTCGGGGACTAAGTCGCGCTCCCCTTTTTCTTAGAGTGTACGATCATGAGGAGTCTTCAGGAAACTGTGTGGCTTCCTCTTACTAGAACTTAAATATGCACTTTTACGAATACTTACGAATACATTAGTACATGCATTTACGTTTCACATGCATGTACTAATGTATTCGTAAATGGACCCTGAACTGCATTTCGTGTTTAACAAAGCAGTGCGCACCTGTTTAGGAACTGTGACTTAATTATTGTCTCTTTTACTTGCAGGTTCCGCCGCCTTTAGGTTCTTTATTCGCGAGTAAGCGTGGTGCACTTCGTAATTTCACGTGGCTTTATGTGCGTACAATAAATTGTTCATGTTGACCGTCGGGTTTTCCAAGATTGTTTCGACAACATACCATCTTGCCACTTCCGTTGACTTCGCCGTTTTACGGAAGCCATGGTCCGCTTACCGATGGACGATGCAGGACGCAGGTTCATATTTCTTTCGAGATTTAATAATATTTTTAGTAGACTAAGCTCGCAAAACACTATCCACGCACGCGCACTCGCAGCACAGGCTACTGTAGCTCATAAAGACTTCTTCAAACAACCTAAGGCTGAAGAGACAGTCTGAAGTGCAAAGGCGTTTAATCAAATAAATATGTTTGTGCGCACTTTTCCAGAGAACATTTGGGGGTTCTATAGCTACAGTTATTTATTTACAAATTAGGTTAAAAAAATAAGAATAAACTTTTAGCCTTTCCACTCTGGTGAAGAGGGATGACCAGCGAAGCTCTACTATGGTGGGAATTAAATAATGGCCGGCCGCAAGTCGGCAAGCCAAAGTGGAAAAGTTGCGACGGCGGCAACCAGACAACCGGCAAGCCGGTTCTCTGGTTCCCGCGCACGCTCATAGATGGCGGTAGCTGTCCGGAGTGTTGTGTCGACATTTATTTGCTGGCGGACACGATCCTGGAAAAACTAAACCTTAACAGCTCTGCTGTAAAAATGTTCTCACCGAAAAAAAGTTATTGTTTTGAAATTGAGCAAAGACGTTTCACGCGTTTTCTTGCGTTTTCTTAAGGTTTTTACGTTACGTAGATGTCATTAAAACATTTGTGTCTCGAATGCCACGGGCCAGGCTATCTCCTTAAACTGATATACCACGCTTAATATGTCGCAAATATCCTGTTGACAAGTAGGTACGTTTTCGTAACGTAATCTAACGCAAGAATACGGGGCTGTGTGAACCAGCCTTTATGACACGGTTGCACTTGCGAATTCGCGAGCGGATACGCGCAGGCGGCGAGCGGATTTTGGAACCGGTTGACGAAATCGACTCGAAAATCTGGACACGGGTCCCTGACCCATCGAGATTTTCCGCCAGCGACGAGCGGATTTCGCCACCTGGCTCCAAAATTCGCTCACCCCCTATTGAAAATTCTCATTTGTATGAGAAATTTCTGTGTCCAATAAACACATATGAATTATACAAGATATATAAGAACATATAAGAACCGTATAAGAACCATATAAGAGCTATATAAGAACTATGTAAGATATATGAGAACATACAAGCACCATATAAGAAACCAGTGGGAAGTTTCTTATAAGTTTCTTATGAGGTTCTTATATATCTTATATAATTCTTATATAGTTCTTATATAATTCTTGTATGGTTCTTATACCTTCTTATATGTTCTTATATATCTTGTATGATACATATGTGTTTATTGGACACAAGAAATTTCTCATACAAATGATTGTTTTTACAAGGGGGCCGCCGGCGCGGATCCGCCCACGGATTTGCAAGTCTAAATGCACCATTAGATAGAAATTATTTTTTGGCATTTTCATTCAGTCAGCTCTTTGTATACAGGCTGTTGGTTTCTAATTGGAATGGAACCTTTTTTAAATGAAGTACTGTTAGATAAACACCAACTTCATTGCGTATTCTGGATTCGCGTACTTTTAAGTAGTATAACCACGATTCATTGGATAATTATTTAAAATTGTGTTAATTTTGAATTAATGGTTTCATGAGTAATTTTGCAGCTGCACTAGTGAAGGCAAATGTTTCTTAGAAGCTATAATTGAATCGGCACAACTCGCAAAAAATGGCATCTAGGTTTGAAATATTAATTGATTAGAAGAATAAACAAATAGCAACAAACCCTACACCTACATTTCCTAGATAAAAAAGACGTAGTGCAAAATTTTCGGCGTGTCCTAAAGAAGGAAAACAAACCCTCCACCTCCACCTCTTAGATACAAAGCCGCAGTGCCGAATCTTCGGGCGTGGCCTAAAGCAGGCCAGCACACCCTCCACCTCCACCTATACCTCCTAGATGGCAAAGCCGAAGTGCGGAATTTTCGGCGTGGCCTAAAGAATGCAAGCAAACCCTTCACCTCTACCTCTTAAGTAGCAAACCCGTAGTGATGAATTTTCGGCGTGGCCTAAAGGAGGCACACAAACCCTCCACCTCCACACCCCAGATAGCAAAGCCGTTGTGTTGAATTTTCGGCGTGGCCTAAAGCAGGCCAACAAACCCTCCACTTACACCTACACCTCTTAGATGGCAAAGCCGTAGTGCTAAAATTTCGGCGTCGCCTAAAGAAGGTTAACAAACCCTCCACCTCCACCTACAGCCTCAGCCGAACTCTGATGCCGCACTCGTGCCCAGTATATATATATATATATATATATATATATATATATATATATATATATATATATATATATATATATATTGATACAAATTGAGCACTACGGCTTTGTCGTCGAGGAGGTGTTAGCTAATCGCTGCCGAGATAACGACGAGTGCCCGACACAGGTCCAAAGTGACGATGCAGGCGAGTTGGTTCACGATACAACTGGAAACAGCGTACATTTAACAAAGACGACGAAGGTGGAGACGGGACAAGCGAACAAGGTACGCCTCTTTTCTGCTCGGGACAGCGGGTGGTGCCATACAGCGCTCCTTGCCCAGTTTTAGAAGCAGCAAACACGTGAACATGTATCGACGAATATGTCAATTGAAGCCCGAGGCATTTTCGATAATTTTATGAATCGGCCAAATAACTAATAATCACTGCCTTTAAAACTAACATCGCAACATGACCCATGAAACCATTTTTTAGGAAGTTCGCCTAAAGATTTTAATTAATTAGTGCAGTGGTTCTCAAATGGGGGCCCGCGAAAACATTCTAGGGGTCCGCGAAGAGCTGCCTCATCAGTCAAGCCCGGCAATAAGAGTTGTCTCTTTTCGAGTCGAGAAGAGATGTTTCAGTTTTCGGGCGAGTTTTCTTGTGTGTATGTCAATAAAGAGGTCTACTTCACACTAGCCCATAGTTGTATCCATTTATTAAATCATTATTACATTTAACTAATACGTTTCCCTTCCCTTCATCACGAACGGGGTCCTCCATCATCTCCGCCGATCGACAAGGGGTCCGCGAAATATCGATGGTTGAGAACCACTGAATTATTGGATTGACGGTGATGGTTACGGCTCGACCTATAATATCCGCCAAGATTAATAAATACGCCATGAGGGCGGTATTCCAACTGTTCTTGCAATTATAAAAAAAAATAAAAAAAATAAGGAGCCCCTTTCAGCAAGTTTCAGTATAGAGGTTTTTTGCGCGACACAGGGGACAATTACAAGCAAGTAGACACGGACAAGCGCTTGTCCGTGTCTACTCGCTTTTAATTGTCCCCTGTGTCGCGCAAAAAACCTCTATACTGCATCATGAACCAACTAGGCCAACAACAAGTTTTAATTTAGTAAGTTTGTTTAAATGTCTTAAAAAGCATATGAGGGCTACAGTTAGTCATAATTTTAACTTACCATTATGTAAAAATACCTACGGTGAACTCACTACATTTTTTGGTACATTCATTTGGAAAGATATACCAACGGATGTGATGCAGAACTCCAACGTTTTTGACAACATTATAAAAAAAATGTTTTTTAATCACAAGTGTAAAGACGCATACCGCGGCCACCCCATAACGAAATATAATTTTTTTTTTTTGTTGAACATTTTTTATGTATGCCGCTGTGAAGACTCTGGTTAGGAGCTGCACACACACCGTCGTCGGGGTCCGACGTTGAGGAGAGACAGTACCCAGCACTAGTTCCGGCACATAGAACTTTATCTAAGCTCGACTTGAGTTCGCGACACAGACAACTGCTACGACGTTCTCCGTCCCAAGGGTTGCGATGGCTAACCGCTCTTTTTTGCTGTCCCTCCTCTTTTTTCTCTTTTCTTCCCCTGGCCACGAGGCGAGGATTCTTTGTAATCTGGCGCGAACGCCACGGTGGGACACACACACACACACACACGCATGCCCGCACGCACAGCACCGAATGAGTCGGTTAGACACTCCGTCACACTCGCCCACACACAAAAAAAGGAATTTTCTCTTACACAAAATTCACCTGACAAAACTTAAAGGGATGTTCATGTTCAGGTTCATAAAGACACTTAGTTTTCAGACCGTAATAAACTCACTATAGGATACCTATCGAAACACTGGGTAAAGTGCACAGAATACACCATCACGTGGTCGCTAAGAACAGTGAACAGAATGGGACAACACATTGAACCCAGAACAATAAGGAGCACACTAAGAAAGTTCCCGCAGATTACAGACCACCCGGTGGGCCCCGCCGGTTTCTCGTACGTGTGCCCATTAAGGTCGATCAACTGGTCCGTATTTTCTCAAAGCATAGCGGTGTTCCCGCGCGGGTTGGCTTGCTCTAGGAGGAGCAGCAGCCGAGCTGTGAGTCAACTCCTCCAAGAGTGCCAGCATGATGAAATCGTTTGATCTCTTCTCGTCAGGATCCACTCTGTTCTCATCCGCTGGACACGGGCCGTGGGGCTTTGGAACGGCGGGCATGGCAGTAGGAGTCCCAACATCATTCGGCATGCCCGGCCCCCGAAGAGGCCCAATGTCACCCCGGTCACCGCCTCCGGCACCATATGATTAGCATGAACTACTTTTTGCTCCCCTGTTCGAGTGTCTTTTACTCGGAAGGTGACCTCCGACAGTTTTTCTACGACCCGAAGCGGACCGCGCCATTTAGGCTGCAACTTTCTGGCGAGCCCACGGACGCCGGCCAAGTCGTTGATACAAACGACGTCACCCACGGCGGAGCTCGAAGTTGCGGCGTCCCTGTCGAATAGGTGTTTCCTTGTTTTGGCAGAGTCAGCCAGCATCAGGCGTGCAGACTCGTGGGCGGATGAGAGTCGCTGAAGCAGTTCATCTCTGTAGTGCTGTGCGTGCCCGCACGCACAGCACCGAATGAGTCGGTAATACACTCCGTCACACCGCATTGTAAGACTTATTCTTGTTTGGATCCGAAGCCACTGTG